CCGCCGCTGCTGCTGCTGGTGCAGAACCTCAAACCGCCTGGCCAGGCGCCCAGACATGGCAGCCGCCCACGCCTCGTCTTGCTGCAGCCCCAGCATGTGCACCTCCCCGCCCATGCCCCAACCCGGCCGCGATGCAACGATGGTGCCGGCCGCGTACGCCGCCGCGTCCCTGAAAGCCCGCAGCGCCTCGGGCCCTCTCTCACACAGGGTCCCGAGCGCGGCGGCGGCGCCGCCGCCGCCGTCGTCGGCGGTTGCGTCCGTGAGGCAGTCCAGCGCGGCTAGGAGCGCCTCGGCCGCCTCCAAGGCCAGCCCCTTGTCATAATCTGGCGGCGGCTCCCCGTCATTTGAGCGCCCGTCCCAGCGCAAGTCCTCCGCAACCCAAACCAGCGCCTCGGCGGCCCCGAGCACGAGGGGCCGCCTCGTCTGCAGGGCCGCGAGCCGGCCGTCGTGGAGCGCGACGCGAGTGATGGCGTTGAGGGCGCTGGCGGCAGCGGCCCGCACAGATGGGATGTGGCGGTCCTCGGGCGCCGCCAGCAGCAGCGCCACCGCCTCCAGGATGCCCGAGCCAGACGGGGCCAGCGCCATTGAGGCGAACGCGTCGCCTGCAGCGATACTGTCCGCTATGAGGCACCAGATTGCCTGCAGCGCGTTGCCCGCGAGGTTGGGGAGCACGTGCGCGTCCGTGCCGCCCGCGACGCCCGCCAACGCGCTTGCGTCACGCAGCACGTTGGAGAACGCGGCGAGCGCCGCAGGGTGCGCGGTGGCGGCCACGCGGCCGACGGGGCAGCAGCAGACCCTGACCAGCACTGTCATGGCGTTGGACTTGACATTGAAATCGTGGTTGCTCAGCGCCCTGAGCAGCAGCGGGATGAAGCCGTGCTCGACGACCATGGCCGCCACTGCCACTTGCTGCTCGTCGCCGCACGTCAAGAGGAGCCGCGCCAGCACCAGGAGCCTGTTGCCCAGAGAAGGCTCGCCCAGCCGCGCCCCCCCGCCGTCGAGCAGCAAGGACAGCCCGTTGCCGAGCAAGGCGAGGACGGCCTCGCGCGGGCGGCGGCGCATGTTGTGGCTCTGCAGGGCGCTGACCAGCTGCAGGGCCGGCTCGGACGCCGAGCCGCCGCCGGCCAGCGCACGGCGCACGGCATCCATCAAAGACCCGTGCCCCGCGATGCGCTCCGCCAGCATCGCAGGGGCCGCCGCCTCCGCCGTTGCCGCCTCACCGTCCAAGTTGCCGTCCGCTATCAAGTTGGCCGACAGCACCGCAAGCATCAGCAGCGGCCCGGCCGCGCACTCGCCGGCGTCCGAGGGCATTGCTGCGGCGATGAGGATGCCGGCTGCGTCCTCGGGCATCATGAGGATTTCGATTCTCAGTGGCGGGCTGCTCACGCACAAGGATTGCATGACTGTGCACGCGGCGTCGAGCGTCGTGCGGCTGAGGTCGCCACGCGCGACCCAGCGCAAGAGCGCCTGGCCGTACCCCGCGTCCGCCATCTGGCGAGGCGCGCCGGTGGGGGCAAGGAGAGCTGGTTGGTGCAAGCCGCCCCGCTGACGAGCAGCACCGCAGGCATGGCAAGAGTCTGCAAGCCTGGTCGGTCGCTGCCCCTGCCCCTGCCTTTCGACCCCGCCAGCGCGTTCCGGCCGGAGCAGCGGCCAGCGTTTCCCGCTCCTCCTGCTTTGCAGCAGCACCACCACGGCTGTGGACGCACCTGCTGCAAGCAGCTAGGCTTCTTCAAAAAGCAGCCGCATGCGCCCACGGCCAGATCCACCTCCAGCACGCTGGCTGACTTGTCGACCAACTTGGCTAGGAGGGATGCGACGCCCGCAGGCCGCAGCAGCAGCCCCTGCGGCAGCGCCGCGCATGCTGCTCGCATCTCTCTCATTGCGTTGACGAACATTCGCCGTGTTGTTGGAGCGCCAGCCCGGCGGCGGGCAGCGGCGCGGAGTGCGGGGTCGCAGACAAGTGCGAGCGCTGCCTCCACGCGATCCGCCACGGCCTGGGTGGCCTGATCCATGACTGCAAGCGTAGAGTGAGTTGTCCCAATTTCAATAGCCAAGGGTACGGTACATGTCATCCGCGCTGTGCTCGGACGTTACGGGACCACGCCGCACTGGGGCGAGTCTGTGCGCCAAAGTAGCCTTTCTGTCGTAGACGATAATCAATAGCACGGGTGAAATTGGTCTGATTGGCTTGACCTGGAGTATAATTCGTGCACAGCGGTCTCTACTCTATCTCCATGTCTGCGCGGGCGCCGCGGGGCGCAATCGTCGAGGTCATGACACTGAGATACGGCATGCGACAACCTACAGCTTCATACATGGATGCAAAAATGGATCCTCCTTCACTATGGGAAATTCTCGCTCGAGGCGGAAGAATGTGGGTGGCTTGACGGTGACAGGATCTCCTGAGCAGCGACTTGCAGAGCCCTGTGACCATCTGAAGTGGCATGAATGGGGACAGATGCGCATCCCACTTGCACGGTCCGTTGTAGTTGCATGACATCAATGAAAGCTTCCAGGCCTTCCATGTCATCGCACCGTCAAACGGCTTGCTGAGCTGGACGCTTCACGCCAGCAGCATGCGGTGACAGCGAACTCCCACACAGTCGTCGACGGGATTCCAGCGCCCCGCCAACACTGCGCCACAGTCAAACGTGGGCATCTGCGCCAAGGCGCAGGCCAGCTCCGATGGTTCCTTGCTTTACGCGGCGGGCGGCGGGATGATGCAGTGCGCCAGGCAAGGGCCTATGCTGCCAGTGCACGCGCCATCCTGGGTGCAGGCCTTCGTCAGGGATGCACCTGGCGCATCAAGGCTGGGGCTGGCAGAGAGGAGGTATTTACAGGCTGCCGATCGGACACGTGCGTGGCCCAGAGGGCCCCGGCTAATGCGCCGGCCCCGCAGCAACAGTAGGTGTGTCAGGCGCTGCTGCTCGCTGTGATCTGCGGATGAAAGGAGCGGGGCGGGTCGGGGCGGCGGGTTCTGACTGTCAGCTCCTCATGCCTGGCAACCTGGCAGCAGGCGCCACTGGTGCATTCACCTGCGCCATTGCCATCAAGGCGACCAACCTCCCTCCCCCCCTCCACCCGCCTTGATCCCATAAATCCAGGCCACGCTTCCGGATCACCCATGTGCCGTGGCC